AATTGCCTGGCCAGAGCCTCGCCCTCTGCATAGCAGATGGCCTAATCAGTATATTGCCAAGGTCGAGTGAGAGAAAATCTCCGGAGGATCGCCTACCTTGTTGAGAGACGGCTCGTTCCTTCTCCAAATCGCACTTGTTACCGACCACGATAATAGGGAAGTAATCCTTGTCTTTCACACGCAGGATTTGTTGTTGGAAAGTCATAATCTCTTCGAAGGATTGCCGAGACGTAATTGAGTAGACCAGGAGGAAGCCCTCGCCAGTCCGCATGTATTGTTCACGCATCGCCGAGTACTCCTCCTGCCCGGCAGTATCTAAGACATCCAACAAAGCGACCTCATCGTCGATGAGACACTGCTTGCGGTAGGAGTCTATACAATAAGAAAAGAAATATTTTGGTAAGCACTCAAGCCGTCAATGACTGCGCCAAAGGAGCCACCTACCTTCAATTGTTGGGTCGTATTCGTCGACGAAGTGACTCTGAATCAGTTGGATCGTTAAGCATGACTTTCCAACACCACCACCACCAACAACAACTAGCTTGTACTCTCTAAGGAACTGGTATTGAAAAGCTGTCAGTCATTTGTGACACATCTCATTGCTTGGGAACCTGTGGCGATCGAAGGCGAGATACGCAGTGATGGAGGCGATGCGGTGATGGTGAGAAGGAAAAGGGGCGGCGAGCGACACAAGGGAACAGGATTTTCGAATGATCGGCGTACCTTTGAAGCCATCACGGCGAAGTCTAGGTTGGAGTTACCTGGAAAGGATGGAAGGGGAAAAAGAGAGCAACGATCGAAGCTATCCCAACAGCAGCAGTGTCAGCGGGTCGAAAAAGTAGCAGCACAAGTTTCTTTTGCAAAAAGGGTCAAGAGTCGGGACCCAGCTTGTCGGGAGTTCCGCGCAGTACGAAGACGCCTGGAGAACAGTCCACAGCAATGGCGGGCCCAGTACTCTAGTAGCGACTAAGCCAAGCTTAAAGACGCCAACTGGGGTTGGGAAAAGAGGAGGATTTAGGAGGATTAGGGGTTTGTGCAGTCTGCACTCTGCAGCACAGAATCGGGAGGGAATTGGAGAATGGCGAACCAGCTTGCGCGCCGGCTTTCCGAACGGTGATGCTACCTACTAGAATATCTAGGCAAAGTTTCTCTCTACTCCGTACTCAACAGAGTCGAGATGATGATGATAACTGTCTTGGAAGGAAAGCGTTTTGTGTGGGCTTAGAAGGAAGACCGGTGGAGATTTGGAGAGGGTGGTTTAAGGGGAGTCAGGATGGGCAGGAAGATGTGGGGATAAGATAGGGGAGGAAGTCCCAGAAAAGAGATCCAGAAATTCGTGATGGAAGGCAAAAATTGTTTCCTTGGACTGTCTTGTCAGATTGTTCCCCTAGTCAATTGTAAGGATTAGAAAGGATATGAAGGAAAGGGCATTAAAGAATTGGGAAAAGCAAGAAATAAAGCTGTCTGCAAGTGTAACTCTGTAGTAGTACCTTTTTTGAGTTCCCGATACTGTAAAGGTGTGAGTGAGACCAGGGAAAGGATTGGATGACTGGTGATTGTGGATGGAGGCGTCTACCTAAGTAGCAAATGGGCCATCAAATCAATAATGGATCATCATAACATTACTAGGCGATATTAATATAAACCCAACTATAATAACAATAAATATCAGTAATAAACAATAACAATAACAACTTGTGGCCTTTAAAAGGGGTTGATTTGGTCAAATCTGGGTCATTCGGACTCTCGGAGGGATGAGCGTGGTATTAAGTGGGCTGGCCGTGTCTGTAACGACGTACGGAGTAAGGTACGGTAGTGTCCACAATATCATCCGATATATGGCCACCTAACGAGGTAGCAATCAGCATACTACAGCAGTTTGCTGATGCCGCAAACAAGCCACTCCTGGCCACTTCCCCGTACCATTGTGATGGATAAGAACTCATCACAATTTTCAACCACAGCATCAAGATGGAGCTGTCAAAAAGACGTTGCAGATGATGAAGTGTTTCATGCCAACGCAAACGGGAGCAATCCAAATCTCGATTTAGCCATCAGTACTCCGTACACTTACCACTACCAAATATCTCCAGCCATCTAAGCTCCATCAACGAATAATAGATAACCAACGGCGCAGACATTGACTGGATTCTTTTCAATTCAATATGCTTATTAACTAAATGACTAACTAGTTACACTATCCTTACTGACTATCTAGCCTAAGTTCGATGCCTCCTACTTATCTACAGGTTAGGAAAGCAGGTAAGTGAAGAGAGCTTTTTTCCCTTGTCATTTACAAGCTCATCTTGTTCTAGAAGCATGGCGTTCACAAGTCCTATAAATGAAGGATCAACAGCCACGCCCATCAATAATGCGATTGTCTAGCCGTTGAATTTGTTTGGCTTTCTCCGGCCCGTGGTCCATGAACTCCCCCTGCCGGGATATCACCAAATGAAGCGAATCAACGACGACCCCGAGTTCGTTGGCATCGGTACTGTACCGTTGAGTATTACGGATATTGAGTGATATTAGGTTGAGGACGCGAATCTAGGAAATCAATTGCAATCGTCACTCAATTGCTTAATTGGTTGCGTCTTTGCTGCAGTAGAAAGCAAGGTGACTGGCCTAGAGTCTTAGACATCCCAAAATTTCTCCCAGGCCGATTAAAAACCTGCGAATGAGGTCACCGTTCCTGAGCGTTTGGAGAAAAACTGTCAAACTCAGCCTTAACCTCAGGCACAACAGTCGGGTGTGTTTCACCACCTCGTGTCCCTGAATGAACACATAACACCGTCCAGTTATTAAGACCTGTTCGCGGCTAGTCTTTTAGCCGCAAGTCACAAATCAATCTAGATTAAGGGAGCGAATCAGTTAGACCAATAATGATAAGAGACCACCCCGATGTCTTGGGAAGAGTTTTCCCCACGCCTCCACTCTTAGGCCCATTGCTAGTTCGCTACGAATATGATTGCTTGGGTCTGTGGTCTGACTGTCCACAGCTGACGTTGGACTCTGATGATAAGAGGCGGGATCATGGGAAGCCGAGATGGCTTCTATGACTTGTATGAGATTTGACGGTATCTGATCGGGACACTCATATTCTGTGATTCAAACCACATATGCAGCAATTCAACGCTACGATGAAGTCACCCACAATTGAAATGGAATTTCCTCGCTTTCTTCAAGGTCAGCATCACTTCAGTAGCTCGCATACCGTTGCATCATCGCATCTCCAAACCAACGTCACAATGTCGATCATTCTAATTTGGGGAATCGGGAGTTTAACAACTGCGGAGTTGACTGGTAACAAGAGATTCTACCAGTCACGAAGTTTCCTAGCTGCCCGTTTTCTGCTGCAATGGCCGAGATAAGACAAGTCACCTTGAAAGAGAAACGGTAGATGCTGATCTCCAAGGCCATAGCCCTCCTCTCCAACAGATGGCAAGGCACAGAAATCATCACCATAGAGCAATTGATCCGTGTACTCCAGGCCCACCTACATCTGTCCGATGATATGCTAAAATTTCTTGAGCCAACTGTCAAATCCGCCAGTATGAGCAATGAGCTAAGGCAGGTCGAAATGCCTAATATATAATGGTTCCTAGCAGGGATAATCATCAGTTTGAGGTAAAGCGTCTGGAAATTGGATCGCTTGGCAAACACTGTGCGTGGCCTTTCGTTTCAGAGGTTGTTAGGATAAGATAGGAGCTCCACAGCGTCAGCCATCGTCTTGAGGATGCGATCCATTGCCTGATTCTTGGACAAATAAGATAAGGATCGCACGTTAGCCTTGGATAACAAGTTTTTTTTTTTCCATCGAGCTGGTAGCAAACCAGTCATTGCATCCTTGTATCATGAAAATTACTTCTGCTCATCCTTGTACTCTGCAAGGATATGCTTAAAGATAATGACGTTTGGTGGGCACTTTCACCTTCCTTGATTCATACATCTGGCTCTCGCTAGTTGTGTATTGTCAACTGGCAACTGGCATTGGAAGAGAGTAATCGTATCAATGAATGCTCCAAGAAAGCTTCTAGAAGCACCGAGAACTGTCCTATGATCTGGCAAGCTCATCATTCTACAGGGCAGAATGCAAAGCAGGAGGTCGAAATCAGGGAGATACTTGCAGTACTTTACTGCATCACTCAACAAGCACTCAAACGCGTATAGGAAGCACCAAAGCAATACGCGCCATGTAGACAGCCCTTCAGGCGATAGCCCTTAGAGCCTACAAGTAATAATATGATATCATCATGGCAGCAGAATCTAGCAATCATGCTTGCAATTCTCGCTGGCCAGTAAATCTCACGCTATGGACTAGGGTAATCTGGGGAACTGGCATATAACTCGGCCCGATATACCTAAAATCCGCGAACTGCACCACTACTACAAAGTAGTGGTAGTCTGTCCATGCACAAGGCATAAGCAAAGGACTATTATCTTACTAATCGAAACGAGGTGATCAACAACACCTCCATGTCCCAAAAGGGTAAATGTACATTCTCCCACTTTGCTCATTCTCATCAATATTTGAGTCAAGGTTTGAGAGTATCCGTGGTCGTTGGCGGAGCTTATTCAGGTGTCGCCAAATGATAGACCAGTAAGTTTTCCAGACATGTGGGTTTGTTCTATGGAGTTCTGGGATGTGGATGTACCATGGTACAGAACTGTTTTGTGCCCATGGACCGAGATTGAGAACGCTTTCCTCTTTAAGGTAGGGACCAAATTCAAGCACGCTCGTCATGGGGCAAGGATGAATAAAGAGGACCACTACCTTATTTGGACGAGTACTGAAGTTGGTGCTATGCCGCCAAGTCTTTTCTGGCGGTATGGAATTGAACCTGTGATGTACATGGCTGTATATAATGTGCTATCTATCTTGACTGAATTGATGGCCTAGGAAGCCAGTAGGTATCTCGCTCTAAATGTCGGTCTAACCCTGCTTTGCTCTAGTTCTTGCGGTACATATGGCCAGGGGATGCCTAAATTGGACTCGTCAGCTATGTCCTGTACAGCCAGAAATACATGAGCGTATGAATGAAACCCACCTGGTGACTTGGGAAAATCAGAGTGTCGGCAATTACGACATTTTCTCGCCGACCCGCAGCAAAGACGATGACTTCAGCAATGTCATCCGGTGTAAGGGGTTCGCATCCACTAATACACGTTAGCTCAGCGCTCTCAGATATGCAGCGGAGAGTCGTACGCATAGACTGCATCAGCCTTGGCCTTGTCACCGTAGAACCGCACAATTGAGAATTCCTGCGGTAGGCTTGATGTTAGCTCGGTTTTTATCACCTAGATCCAGACACCTTACCGTCTCGACTTGACCGGGATCAATCTCGATGATGCGGATTCTTGTATCAATAAGCTCCTTTCTCAAGGCATCGGTGAACGACTTGACCGCAGCCTTAGTAGAACAGTAGATACTACCACCAGGGTAGGCTTCGCGACCGGCGATACTGCCAATGTTGATGATGTCTCCACGGCCACCATCGGAGCGCTTCTTGAAGATGGGAAGAATGGCTTGGGTCATGTTGATCAATCCAGTGACGTTGGTGGAAAACATGACGTTGATATCCTCAGGGTCGATTTCGGGGGCTTTGGCTACACCCTTGACCAGACCACTGTTTCCTTCTTTAGTACCCCACGTCTAAAACAGTGCGAAAGCGAGCAACTTCAAGACTTACGCATTGTTGACCAGGACATCAATATCTTGAAACTCCGCTGGAAGGGACGGGACAAAGTTCTTGACCTCTTCCGGATTGCTGACGTCCAGCTTCACTGGCAGCACCTTGACACCATCACCGACCTCCTCCTTGATTTCCTCGGCCAGCTGCTTCAGAGAGTCGAGTCGTCGCGCAGTCACGATCAGCTTCAGGGCCTTCGGCGACGTCCGGGCAAACTCCTTAGCGGTACTCTTGCCGATTCCAGACGATGCGCCAGTAATAACAATTGTCTTGCCTTCAAGGCGCTTTGCCATTGCGGTTGCCATTGTGCGTTTTATAAGAGTCGCCTGAGATGCAGGGGTGAAAATGCTCGTTCTAGCCGAAGGGGTGAATGCGGAGAAATAAGTAAAAGATCGGAGGAAGCTTATTGATTTGCTGATGTGCTTCATAAATGAATTTCAGCTTGCAGGAAGAAGATTAGAGATCAAGAAGGAATAGAAATATAAGAAAAGGACAGAGAATTGAGGCCCGCATTATGACTCTTCGTCTAGATAACAAGCCGAAAGTCGGCATCACATCATCTGCGGGGGAAGCTGAATGATTGGCGGGGCTATTGTCTGCCTTGGATTTTCCGCCAGTTGTCTGTCGGCTGAAGGTTTGGCCGATCGGATTTGCCCCGACTTGGGTCAAAACATGTCCAGCATGCAAAAAGAAGTGTATGAGCTTGATTTTATTCTGCATCGCAGCGGAGTATTTGAGCTTCAGATAATGACTTCTTTGTACCCTGACAGCCTCTCAGCTCAGAATTTCATTGGGAACAGCATCTTGAAGCAGTGCTTTGAGTAGGAAAATACATGATGAACAAGCTGTTGAGCAAATCATCTCATCAGTTCTTGCTGTATTCGTCAGTCTTATTTAGGGATATAGAACACACTGAAAGAAATCACCTACCTTCGATTAAGCTCGTTTGGCGATGGTGGACGAAGTGACAACGGACTGTGCAGGATCAAAAGAGTACTCAGGGCTTGAACTTCGCTTAAGACAGTTGGCATTGCCAAAGCCATTTCTAAATCTACCATCGAGATTATCCGCATCATTGCTTCTTAACGATATGACACTCGTTCTCTTCTCATGTAGATATCTAGCGCTAGAGCGTCTCTCAACTCCCGCGCGCACCCTCGCGTGGGGTCAAGGGACATCTAGGCATACCTTTGACAATCTCCACTCTAGACTAATTATCAGCATTATCACGAAGATCACCAACCCATTTTGATCTTCGAGCGTTGGATTTCCCCATTTGTTGCTGAAGCCCCGATAGAGTTCAATAGTGCTTCAACGCTATTTCTGTGTCCCAGGAACTTGCAGGCTCGAGTACGTCGCTGGACACGGAACTGCTTCAATGACCAAGGTCACTTTGAAACCTAATTCCAGGTCCCCGGATTCAGTCAATGCCATTGTATACCGTCAATTGTCTACATACGGCTTTATTTCGCCGTTTCCTCGGTCTACGGACTCAGTCCAGGAACTCGAATGTCTTGAGATACCGATACCCCGATTATTGCTCTATGAGGTATCAGTAATCGATCGACTTGCAGGTGCGTATTGGTAGACGTCATCGAAAGCTAAAGCTGTTGAATGTCCTTTGATCGCAGCCGGCACGGACAGCCATATCACGCTTCCTACAAGGTGGTGTTTGGAAGACCTAGTTCCGAACATGATAGCGTATCTCAGGCCAGACTGTCATCGACTCATGGTGTACCAGGTAGACTACAATCACTTCCCTCCGCCTTGCCTGGAACCCATATGAGACACTTGGGGACTGGTCTATCCGCACTGGAGCATGATTAAGCAATGACAGTTGGACTGACCACAACCTGACTTATCTCTCGGGGATGATGATTTCCTTTTCTCCCCATGTGCCAAGACACCGAAAAGCGCCATCACAGTCCGGGCTGTCGATCACTGCAGGTCATGTTGATCTATTTTACTTAATCAGCGCAAGCTCCACGCCTGTAGGCCTACTACTGATATGAATGAGTCGAAGATTGATCTCTGCTTGTCCTTAATGATCCTGGCCGAGTCATAGATTGCCTATTAATGGGCCACAATTGCTCGTGTGCTGATGTCTCATTTAGATGTCCCACATTTGTCTCTGGCACTAATAGAAAAATGTACCCTTGTCCACCTCGGTGGACATGCGCCAAAAACGTTCTAAACCCACAAAGATCCACTGTCTAGCGATGATTGACAGGCTCGCTTCGAGGAGACATTCCTAAAGAGGATAATGAGGTGGGCAATGCCATTTCTAAACTTCAGCAAATATCTTCCTCCATACAGGTCCTAGCACTGAGGGCGTTCTGGATTGACATGTCACATACCTAATACACGGATGCTCTTACAGACCCTCCATTTCTTATCAATCACTGCACGAAGTTACTAAGGTAGTAAATCATCCGATGATCCGACCAGTGGCGTTCGGAGTTTGACTAGTACGTCGCTTAGCTTTCGATGTGCCTGTTACTCTTTCCACTTGAAGAATCATCCCCGCTTCATGTCCAAGGAGGGTAGCAAATCCACTAGTCCATTGTGACAACGTGATAGCGCCGACACTGAACAGGATCTTGATTCGATTATGCAGTCGTGCTGCATGCGCATAATTCTCTTCCTCGCAGAGTGATGGATGACGCTTTGACTAAAGACTATCAAGTCCCACATTCTACTGTAATAGCAACAGCTGTTTACTACCAAGGGAGATTCATCATCCTGCGGCACTGTGCTCCACGGTGAAAAATTATACAAGACGGCCGTCAACTTTTGTGGTCTATAGCATATGATTCGTTGAACCTATTTCATATTCCCTACGAGTCCCTGAGCCAGGCACCAACGATGCCACATGTTGCTACAGTTCCATTACTAGACGCTCCACTATCGCGCACTCCATGGAGACCATGCAACTCTGGGTTGAAGATCAGCAGCACTAAAGCTTTCCAGGGCAATGCGAACACATGGCAAGCATTTCCCGGCTCGTGCGCTTGGGGATTTGGAAGTGATCTTACAACACTATTGAGCTCTCTACCGTGCCTCTGGTTCATGTGGGTGGGGAAAACAGTGCCTAGGAGGTCGTACAACCAAATTAAATAATACCTTAGCCTATGCCATACTCGATGTCGTTTATGAGTACAAACGAACTCATGCTCCTTGACACCTTCCTCTCACATAGGGTCTAATTGACCTGGCCGTTCCTTACCATTCATCGGGATTTCCCAGGTGAAAGTGCTATACAACCTATGCAAGAAATCTGATTGATCTTGTCTGGCTTGCAGAAGGCCGGATATTATCAACGACTTCCCCAATCGCGCATCACACTCTTTTCGCAGTATTCAAGCGACACGCTCATTTGACAACACACTCTTTTCACCCTTCCGAGATGCACGGGCCGTTAGGACATTTCATACTATCTCGCGATGAGGACGATGGATCATCACGGGGGCAACAGGCAGTGGTGGTAACAGGCGTATTGACCGGACTGGCGATTCTAATCGTTGCGATGCGGCTGTTCGCGCGGATCGGCTTGATGAAGCTGAGAGGTCGCGAGGACTACACGATTGTTGTGGCCCTGGTTAGTGGAGATTTGGCCGTCCGATTGCAATCCACCACTGACTGGAATTGTTAAAAGGTCTTTTCCATCGTCTACTTTGCATTGGTTGCTGCCCGTAAGACATTCCTGCTGTATCCCCTACTGGGAAAGAAACACAATCATCTAACTTTCTCACACAGAGGTTCATTTCGGTCTTGGAAGACATTCCGATAAACTTCCTACTGCTACACTGAAACAGCAGCTCAAGGTGGGTGCCGCCAGTCTGATACATACGTCAATGCGATAGTTGACAATGTCTGATATAGCGACTCTGGATAGCGATTCCATTCTACAATGCGAGTATGGCTTTTAGCAAATTCTCCATTCTGTTTCAATACTTGCGCATCTTTCCCAGCCGCCGGTTTCGATTTGCTTGCCACACCGTGATGGGTATCGTCGCATTGTACTCGACATGGGCTATTGTCAGCGCATTCGTGAACTGCGTTCCTATAGCGAGGTTCTGGGACCGCGATATTCCCGGCTCCTGTCTCAGTTTCGAAGCTGTCTGGTTTTTTAACGCGTCCATGAACATCGCTACCGATCTGACGCTACTTATCATGCCGATGCCACTCATTTCTCAACTCCAACTTCCCCGCATGCAGAAAATTGCCCTCATGGCTGTCTTTGCCGTTGGTTTACTGTGAGTCTGCCCTGTACGGAACAGCCTGACGGTTGCTTACATTCGATAGGGTTGTTATCACCAGTATCCTTCGTCTGTCGAGTCTGCGAACAGTCGCTCAAAGCCCAGACACGTCATGTAAGCCTCCTTCCCATGTTCATTACAACGCTATCTCTAACCGTACAACAGACAGCAACGTAGGCGCCGCCTACTGGACCGCGGCCGAATGCAATGTCGCCATCATATGTGCTTGTCTCCCCTTCCTTCGACCCCTTATCAGCCGCATCTTCCCCAGACTACTGTCCACCAAGAGCTACAACAAATACACGGGACAACCCACGATGGGTACAGCCAACCGGTCACGGAGGACTCAACTCTACTCGCGAGACCGGGACTATGGCCTATACACCATCGATATCGAAGCGACTGATATGAAACGAGGATCTACTGGAGGCATTGAGGTCACAACAGAGATGACGGTACAGGAGTCGGAGCAGCACGATGAGTCGACGAGTCAGCGGCGGCTAGTGATGCAATAATAACTTGATGCCGTGATGTTTGTTCACGTTTATTTCTTCCAGATGCTTACCGATCTTCTTCATTTACTCAGCCTGATTTCTTCGATGTACATATAACCCTGTTCTCTTTCTCGTCTTCTCTACCAGACGTTGACTTACGTTGACTTTTCCTATAATGATGATAATAATGAAGGTGTGGAGCCCAGAGTCTCTCGCGTCTCCAGATCCATGACAAAAGCCATTCCGAACTTTTCTCTTTACTAAGTATTAGCATTCGCTACCTTCGGATCTGACATGTCACTCCGATCATGGTATGTCTATTAGCGGTATCTTGCCTGCTACTTCAACATCTAACTAGCAAGGATGATCCTTGCACGAATTAAACTACAGCAAAAGAAAGACTAGCTAGCTGAAGCTTAATCCAGCCACAATGCACTTTATCACGCACGATCACCAACTTTGATAGCGAGGATACCACTCAGTGTGTTCATCAAAATGGAAACAGTCAGTCACATCTGAGACGACACCGCTATCCATGCTGCTAGGCCCTGTCAATTAATCACGATTATACTGGACGAACCTAGATATCAGAGCATAATGGTGTCACGCAGCACTGAATCACTGTCATGTCATGAACTCCCTCAAATGTCGACAATTTAACCTACAGATCTGAGTGGCTTCGGATCGGCCCGCCAGGTCGATGTCATGATGACCCGACCACCATCTACAAGCACAATGGACACCAGCACACTCACATGCACTCAGGATCCAACTCTCTCCCAAGACACCAGTACCAGCACAGAGAGTCAATCGACATGCCAAGCGCCCTCCGCACCTTCACCCTCAACTTCGTCGGCGACGTCATGCTCGGCCGCCTCGTCGACCAACTCTGGCCCCAGCATGTCGACAACGCCCACGAACGTCGCGTCGTCTCCTACTTCATCGAGCGCTACCCCTACCTAAGCAACTACACCCACCGCGACCCCTGGGGCTCCGCGCTACCGCTCTTCCACAACTCCGACCTCAACCTCATCAACCTCGAAACCTCAGCAACAACCACCAACGACCCCTGGCCCAGCAAGGCCTTCAACTACCGCATGCACCCCGCGAACGCCGCCGCCCTGCGCGAAGCCCGCATCGACTACGCCACCCTCGCAAACAACCACACCCTCGACTTCGGCACCGACGGCCTAGTCGAGACAGTCTGGACAATGAAGGAGTCCAAGATTGCGTTCGCGGGAGCCGGCGAGACAGCAGACGAGAGCCGGCGGCCGGCAGTCCTGCGTCTTCCGCGCTGCGCAGCAGCCGCGCATCACGGACACGCACATGCACAGGATAACCACGAGCAATCGGGCACATCGTACAGCGTGCACGTCTACGCGGCCTCGGACCACCCGCGCGACTGGGCCGTCGTGCCCACCTTCCATCTAATCGACTACTCGGCGCGAACAAGAGAGCACCTGCGCACGCTGCTAACTTCACCTCCAACATCCACCGACACGCCCGAGAAACCCGCGCTCAGGATCTTCTCCGTCCACTGGGGCCCAAATTATACGTGGCAGCCGGCGGAGAAGATCCGCTCGCTAGCGCATTTCCTGATCGACGAGTGCGGCGTGGACATTGTGCATGGCCACTCCTCGCACCATGTGCAGGGTGTCGAGCGGTACCGGCGGAAACTCATCATCTACGGGTGTGGGGACTTTGTGGATGATTATGCGTTGAACGAGGAGTATCGGAATGACCTTGGGGCTGTGTGGAGGGTTTGTGTGAGGGAGGAGCAGGATGAGGAGAAGGCTGACCCGGAGAGTTGCAGGTTGGTGTTGGATCGATTGGAGATCTTTCCCACCCGTTGCGATCGTTTTCAGGTGACGTTGTTGGATCCCGATGATGATGATCATCTCTGGGTGAAGAGGAAGATTACCCGGTTGAGCGAGGATATGGGGACCAAGGTGCGTAGGGATCTAGGGAAGGAGCATCAGGTCGTAGTGGATCTGAGAGATTAATGGATACGAGAATTCATCATCGCAGAATCTAGCAGGGTTTCATAACCAAAGACGAGTAGGATACAACTAAGTTTTATCATCAGGGGCCGAGCCCGTTATCTGGATCTCCAGAAAGATTGTGATGTCTTGATAAGAATTAAGGAGATTACCGAGATCTATCTAAATAAGACAATAGCAGTAAGCTGTCGTCTGTAGTAGAGTAGCGGAGATCATGAAATTGGTAGGTGGAAGAAGGGTGAACAAATGGAACGACAAACGCCTCCGCTGAGGTTGCTCCGACAGGTCGCAGGAAAGAAGGTGACGATAAAGAAAGCTCTGGGCTTTTCCGGAATTGCACAACTCCTGTATATCTGGTTCAAATATACTGAAATGGTATCTTGCCAACGAGGTAAATCTTTGCGCCGGGGTAAGAAAGACAAAAAAGGAAAAGGGAACAAGGGGAAGTCATGCGAGATGATAGTGAAGGGACTGCGCATCACGCTCCCAGTTCCGCCAACTCTCGCTCTTTAGCCCGAAGCATTTCACGCATCTCCTCCGCCTCACGCTGCAGTTTCGCTCGGCGGTCTTCTTTAAGGCTTTCAAGTTCAGACACGCCAGGCAAGGGCTGCGACGGCGGATGAGGTGCCAAGGGTGTCGCTTTGTGGTGTTGCTGCTGATGGCTAAGAGCAGCGAGCGACGGATCTAGGCGGGATTCGTCGTGCGGGCCTGAGTGGTTTAGAAGAGTGGAAATCGAGCTGAGACGGCCGGGGGGAGAGGGATTGGCAGTTGACATGATGGGGGGAAGTTGGTTAGAACCCGATTCCAACGTCGTCGGAATGGAGGAAGTATCGTTGGATGATCCGGTCTCCGCAAGAGTTCGCTTCTTGGCATTGCCGGAAGCGCTGGGTGAGATGGAACGTCGACCGAACTGTGGAACGGGAGAATGACTAGGTGCGCTCAGCCGTTCAGGCTCCAGGAGTCTCGGAGGGGGAGGGTGATGCGGCAACGAGAGACTCCCGGTAGCACTGAAGTGCGTGAAATCCACAGGCGGCGGGGCAATGGCATAATGTCGCTGATGGTTAGCCTGCAATGTTGGATCCGAACTCAAGTATCGGTAGTGGTCATCATGACCGTGAGCCAATACCGCAGGAGATGCCTCCGGCGACGCAGACGAACCGTTGGACGAATAGGTAGCTCCACTGGGAGATTGGTCTCTCAAGGCAGGCACAACACGTTTTCGTCGTTTGATGACGGACTTCTTCATCGTGGTGGGTCGGTAGCAACCATGCAATTTATAGTAGAGTCCTAATAGACAAACGGATGTTAGTATATTGGCATATCACAAGATTGGCGGAGAGTCAACGTACCACAAGCATTGCAAATGGGATGTCCATTTTCGTCCCTTCGCCAAAGTGGAGTCACAGTGGTCCCGCAGTTTTGACAGGAGACCAGCATGTTTCCTCCTTCGACCGGTGCGCCATTCTTTCCCGCATCGTTTTCGGCTTCAGGGAGAGGTCGGTCGGGCTCTGAATTTGTAGCTCTCCACGAATGGATGGGAACCGTGCCTCGAGCAGCGGACTTGTAAACTCGGTTGTTGTAAGCAGGGCAACCATCGCATCCCTCGGCTCCGCCAGTCCCATTGCAATTCCCTCCACCAGGACAAGAACCACCTCCTGAGTTAGATTGACAGTGGCCCTGTGAAGCCGATTCGCTCTGGGCATTTCCATGACCAATTTGTTGCCCGCCCGCTTCAGAGCCCGGTTCCATTCGATTGCGCTTGGTCGGCCTAGCCACGTTCCTCGCTTTCAAGTATAGGCCGCATGCATTGCAAATCATCGCCCCCGTCGGTGATCGTCGCCATAGAGGAGTGCTTTTCGTCCCACAGTTACTAGAAATAAGAGTCAACACAATGAACTCGGAAAGAGGATTGAGGAGTATCAAGATATACGGACCTGCAGGAATGTCCCAAGAATGATGTGTCTTTCTGCGACTTTGGCGATGTCGAGGTCTTCTCAGCTGGAGGAGCGGTTCTTTGTAGTTCAGGCCAATGTTGTCCATTCATTGACGTTTCCATTTGATACCGAGCAGGCGCTGTTACCTTCTCATCCCGATGACGATCCGCGGTGTGTTCCCGGCCAGCTTGGGCCGAAGATATCAGCTGCTGGGCAGCGTCCAGGTCCTCCGCTGAAGGGTGCCGCGTAACGACATCATGGTTCCGAGAAAGCGATCGTACCGAGTCCATCTGAGGAACTGAAGCAAGCATCGCCACTATCAAACCTCACCTGGCTATATTCCTGTCTCTGAACGAGAATCAGCCCACAAGGCGGTGTTCCTCGGTAACAATCGAGGCAAACGGGATAGCTGTGTCGTGGATGGCACGTCGCACCACCGTCCAAAGCGTAATGTTTGGTATCACAGAAGTCAAGCGTCGGTCAGAATAACAGTACAAGAGAAGAGGTACAAGGATGCCCCCTAAAAAAAGTAAAGTCGTAGTGGAGAGAGGCGCTGCAGCTAGTGCAACTCAAGCCCAACAGAGCGGTGCAGGGGAGTCGACTAGTGGTCGATCCTTGACAACTGCTGGAAATGCGCGCAAGTGTCTCAAAAAGTTGAGCGATCAAAAAAGAAAGGTCGGCCAGAGTCAATACTCTGATTATCAATAACTGATCCGCCACGAAGAGTCCGCTTTGTTGGCCAATCCGAATGACAGGTCGAGGTGGCGATCCAGTCGGGTATGCCAAGTGGTCCGATCCCGTCAGATGCCCGTTCAGATAAAGGGTAGAAAAGTGGTCCGAAACTGGAAAGAGAGCCTTGACGCGAAGAAACGATTAGAAACGACGAAAACAAATAAACGGAAAAATTCTCAGGTGCCAGCAGCCAAGTGGTTGGGAGAAGAGGGAGAAGGGCAAAAAGATAGGATCGGCGACGAGGCGATCCACTCCGAGCAATGGAATGTCACTGGGGAAGAGTGACAGGTAGGAAGTTGGGAGTTTGGGGTAGTTATGCAGAGACGGTGACTAAAAAGAGATAAAGGGGAAGACGAAGAGGAGACTAGCGAAAATGAGGAGTGGGAAAAGCTAGGAGAATCTTGAGATGCAGAAGATTGATGAGATCGATAGACTGATTTGATTGATTAGACGGGGAAGTACGTACTTTGTAACGCAGATCAAATGATTGATTGATTGATAGAAGGAAAAGGGACGGAAGGGAAAAAAAGTGGGTATTGCCCAGGCGGTCACGATGACGATAAAATGCTAGTAAGTAGTAGCTTTGGAGTTGACGGATTTGATGGAGAGGATGATGACAAGATGGATGAGAGGATGATGATGATGATGATGATGATGACGGGTAATAATAATGATGACTCTTAGATGATTGTGAAAGACGACAGTTTGCCTGGTGCTGTTGCTGTTGCTGTTGCTGCTGCTGCTGCTGCTGCCTGAGGTTGTCCTTATCGGTTATCGATCTCCCAGGGGGATCTACTCTACCTACACCTGGGGACGACAGATCCTGTTGTGCTGCAAGTTGTCCAGATATCCAAGTAGTTGGGATTCCTCAAGAAAGTAACTGTCGGGTCCAGATGTTCGGGTCCCTTTTTCGACTCTCTGTGCTCCCTTGACTGACGGTTCCTGATGTTTTCTTTTTCTCACTCATTTTTGCCGTTCGTTTCTTTTTCTCATTGCGCCTGCTTTTCCTCCCCCGGATCGAATCATCTGGACCCCACCGATGCCTGTTCTGATCTAGTCTTATGGGTCTACCAAGAATGCGCCTTCCCCTTTTAGTAAGTAGCGTATATGTGATTCAATAAGCCTGTTTGTTCTTGCTGCTATTGGTGAATGTCATTCTGTCTCTCATGTCAGCGTTTTTCTAATGATTCTGATTGGCTGTAGATGTCTTTCTATCTCTTCGTTGAGTTTCTAATCTATCGCATCAGCTCCACCGTCTGGGATTATTCTTACCTAACCTAATCTATCGTCTCGGCATTCGTAGTCTAAGCATTCAGGGTCTGTCGTTAGCATCGATCATTCATCACACGTAAAATAGTAATCATAAAACGTTTCTCTACCTGCTTTTTTAATGAGTTTTTTAGAACATGCAGAAGTTCTGCGAGCCAAGCTAGGCTGAAAGAGGTTCTGTTGAGATTAAAAATACTATACACCCACCATGGGTCCACCAAATACTTCGAACCTGGTATGCTAGGACTATAGCGAGACACGGCTTAGACATGCAGGTTCATTATCATACTCGTCAACACCTACGAAATGCGGGCAGGGGAGTAGATTAAGACTGTCCCGCAAACTTCCGCACAGTTTTGTGTTGGTGAAAGATCTGCGTTGGTGTTTGACAGGTACTCTTGCTTCGAGTATTGTCTCTCGTTAACCACGGCGCGCGCTAGCGCAGCTCTTCCACATGACGACTGATATTCAACCATATATTATCTACATATGTAATACAGGGTCCACAAGAAAAGGTATCTGTCCGCAAAGGACAATTCAAACGAAAATCAAGAGCTCCAAAGGTGACAACATCAAGACTGTTTCAGACCAGCGTTTCCACTCAACGTGAGATGGGTATACTGGTTCGACCACATCACTAAAATCGCAAGGCGAATATATATCATCACACTCGTCGATGATCGTCAAGCGCATTATAGGGACATCGTTCTTGGAATGCCGCAAGTCTTCAATCTTGCGGCTCAAAGTACGGTTTTTAGAGGACCCGGGATAACAGCAATCGCGCAGTATCCGGGAGATCAGGTGTTCCAGGTTCCGCAAAGCTTAGACCTGTTCCGCACCCCAGCCCTGGTCGGCCTCACGCATGTTGGAGGGAGGTTCGATGGAAGGAATGAAGTCCAGGACAATATATCCCAGACCGACGAACCCAACGATAGAACCGGCAATGTACCGCAGCACGTGGCCGTGCAGCAGGATCGATCCAACGAAGACGTAGACTGAGAATACTTGTCAGAATGCTACCAAAAAGAAATGCCAAGCCAAGAAAGCTCAGGAACTTACAGACACCTCGTCCCAGGAACGAGAAGAGGAAAGACGCATAGCGATAGACATAATCCGGAACAGTGGGCATCAATTCCAGGCCGCCGACGACTAAGAGACCACCGTGTCAGCAACCGATTACTCTCCTTTGGTAATCAGATCATATTTGTCTGGGAACTTACCGAGACCGAAGATGATCACGTAGGCACCAACAATTACGGAACCTAGCGATGCAGGGAAGAATTGAGCAATACCACCAAGGATCATAATCACGCCAATGGCGATGTTGACGATCCGGCTGGAGGTTGTCAGTCACAGTTCCAAAAATCGGCTCATCATAACGCCAATGCTTCAAGCTTAGCAGAGTACAGCGACATACAAGATGTTAGAGAAGTCCATTTTGAACGATGTTCGCACGAATTATATCCGTCGGTGGCCGAGCACGGGTACTGGGGTTTTCAACGAGATATAATGAGTCAAATCGAAAATTGCGAGGTCGAAGCACGAGGCTGTAGCGATGTGCGCTCAAGAGAATGGCAGCGTTGAGAGCTTCGTCTGCTTGCTTGTGAAATCACCAGTGTCGCTGAGCGGTGAAACTGTTCGAATGTCGTAGCCTGCGCCGTCGAAAAGCGGTTGCCTAAGGTGGAAAAAAAAAATCGTTGATCGCGTAATGTATCTCAGATTTCTCAATAATGCAGTGGTCGAGTAAGAATCGTTAAAAGGTCACGGAGAGGATCAAAAGGAGGAGAGGTTGGGAAACCAAGGAGATGAGCAACGGATGGGGCTTTGGAGCTTCTTGGTCCCAGTTGGAGTCGCAACCAGCGGATCCGCCAAGCCTTCGAAGATGGCTGACTCACCCGTAGCTGCCAGCCACAACTTCACGTGACAAAGCATGGACTGCCATACAAACACTACAAGAGGTATAACATCAACTAGCAAAGCCTCCAAAGGGTTTACAATACAAGTAAAAGCTGTCGGATAGTAGATCTAAATGTTGCAGATCCAAGCTTATAGTGACTCCGTACTGGGCAGAATAAGAGTCGTTATCTGGTATTGATAATGAGGAACGCAGCGCCTAACTACTGCGGAGAACACGGTTTCCGATATCATTTCATGGCAACCGCCCACTCCTCATCTTGTGTCTTGCTTCCTCAACACCGGTCATGGAATCTTCTTCAGTACAGGGACATTGCCCTTTCCTGGAGAATCAAACAATGTCCGCAACATGAAACGACCAACTCATCAATGTCAAACGTAGAAGCACTCCGCTTGCGAGACCAATGGATGAACGATATCTCTCCCACGGTGTGGTTTTCCTTGAATTGCTGGCCTGGAAATTGACCTCATTCCATTCATTTTGACGTTGCAGTCCCGGTTGAACTGGAAGGCTGAAACACATCTTTGAGTCCCAAGCGATCAATTGCTTAACTGCGCTCAATGTGGCCTAAGCTCCTCATATGCGGAATCAGTCTTCCCGAACCTCTCGTTGCTTCTTATCCAACCGCACATGGGACAATCCGTTTGCCAGTCTGCTCATCCTCATTGGGTCTCGATTCAGGCTTTCATAGATTGCTTCGAGATCTGTACCAATACTAAGCTCCTCCGCCGTCTTGAGACTGCGCGCATCCAAGAAGGGGGCCATGGAAGGCCAAACGCTTTGTACGTTGTTAAGAAAGAGATCGACACCAAGGTCACCCAATCCTTTGACCCCCTTGATCAAATCTCTGGTCTTTTTGCGGTCGTTCCCAGCTTTTTCCAGAAGATTATTAAGGTCACCGTCTAGACCGTGGTCAACATACTGGCAGAGCCAGTCTGATCTCAAGGAAGGGATGCGTACCGTACTGCCCATTGACGAAGTCCGCCAAATCGCCCAGGTTTGTAGCACCTTGCTCTCGATACCGATTATACCCTCCGTCCTTTAGCACCATCGTCCGTTCCTCCCAACTACTTTCCCCCAGCTTTCTGATATCATGATAACCTTCGTCGATGAGCTTGTTCACCGCACGCTGCGAAAGATCATGCGAAATCGGCCGCGACTTCAACATCGCGTCAAGCACCATCGCAAGCACCGTCTCCGGAGACGCAATGAGCGGCTCCTTCGCAAGGGAAGTGCCCTCTAGTGGCTGCCGGCCAAACTCCTCGATAATCTTGTGCACCTTCGGTGATTCCGAGGGTTTAGCATGCTCCTCATCTTCAAATTGCCCTTCAGCACCCTCCAAGCCGCCTTCTTCATTCTGTTTTTGTTTTCGTTTTGCGCCCGTTTTCACCTCTGGGTCTTGTTTGCCTTTGTTGTCATTATTCCATCCTTCGCTGTTGGTGTTAGGATCCGCTTTGTTCTCCTCTTTAGAGCTAGAGTTTCCACTGGTCGACTTCGATACTTTGTTTGGAGGCTGCTCTGAGTCGTCGCGATCCGATGTCTCGTGTATTTTGTGGTCTCGCTTGCGCTTTTCGGCGGCTGGGACTGGGCTGCCGTCGGTTTCGTAATCTTCTACGGCGGGAGATTTGTACTTCATTGTGCTGCGATTTCCTCTTCAAATGGGCAGAATATTCTCGCTAGGCCAACAAGCTGTTCAAAAGTCAGCGAAATTGAAAGTTGTACCCTAGAGAGGTACTCGACAAGCGTTTTAATTTTATACGGGGATGTGCCGACAGTGTGACGTCGACATGATGGTGACTGGACGGTCCGCTTTTTGATCTGTCGCAGCACATTGGATGAGATATACTTTTCTCTTCTGCTGCAAAATAAACACTTCAGTAATCACTCTTTGTAGTTATGTGCACTTATATACATTGTTGCAGCTAAAGTTGTCCGTATCACAACTTCGCTTTACTCTTGCGCTGCAAGACGTCATCAACCAATCTAACCGCCTCCGCGGCGCAACCGTATGAAGCTTGATATCCAAATCCTCCATGGCCATAGTTATGCACGACTGCTACCCCGTCGATCTTCTCCGCTTCAATACGAGTGCCGCCTTCTCTGAGAGGCCGCAGTCCGACCCCGTGCCGGATAATGTCCAGTCCTTCAATGCCCTGACCCTCTTTAACAAGCTGCGGGCACAAAGCAACTGCGCGCTTCATAATCCGAACTGCTAGGTTAGGGTCAGGCAATGGATCCCACTGGTTCTTCTGATATGAGCCGCCGATGATAGTTCCACCGCCAGCGGCTCGAGTCATCATGTAGACCAGCTCGTCTTCACCATCGTCGGACCCGGAGATAGAAAACATGGCTCCAGGATCGTTGCGGACGACGACGATCTGGCCGCGAGCCGGATATAGCTTCTCATCACATACTCCGCCCAGTTTTCTAGACGAGAGACCGGTGCAATTCACCACCACGTCGGCCTTCTTGCCGGAGTGGTGGGCGCTTGCAGCTTCCGTAACGTGCTTGAAGACGGCTCTTTTGAATACCACCCCGTTCTTTCGGCATTGCCCAACAAGCCAGGGGAGGTAGACGGCGGTGTTGATACAGACTGAGGTGAATTTCTGCGCGTTATCAATACCAGGGGCTAGCTGGTCGGCCGGAATGCCTTTAAACTGATGAGCATCGTCAGCCGGGCTCGTCATCAGTCTAAGGGTCTTCCTGAAAGACCAAAACTCACGTCAGGAACGACATCTTTGTACCACGGATTAGGCTGCACTAGCTCGGAGAACCATTGGCCAGTAGGCGATCCTTGGTCCTTGACTCGGTTGTATACAATCGTGTCTAGAACGGTCAGTTGGGATGTATTACTTCGTTAAGCGCTGGATGTATACCTTGAAAATGGATCCCAGCCTCTGGGTGTTTCTCTGTCAGCTCCTTCAAAGCTGGCCATGTCTCTCGTTCCCACCTCTCATGAGGACTCCCGGATTTTCCCACACTTTCAAGCGATCAATCAGCGGAGGGATTCCAAACTGAGCCGAAAAAAAAGACACCTACGGGAGATAGTTGGCTCCAGCCCATGGAGAACAGTATTCGATATCGTAGTCTCCAGGCATATGTTTGGCAACTACGGTGATGCTGTTGGACGCATTTTGAGAAAGGAGATACGCAGTAGTAAGCCCTGACACTCCAGCTCTGTTCACTTGTTGTCAGCATGAGATCTCCACTAATTCCATGTTACCTGGAATCATGGATGGCCACCGAACCGGCATACCCCAGAATCACAATGGTATTCGTAGCCATTGTATCTTCTCGCTCGGGCGAGTCAGTGATATAAGCAACCGTAAAGCAGCAGCAGAAGACTAACAATAGATCTCAGGATTCCAGGAAGAATGGGAAAATGAGTCAAAAGATATACTCCTCTCCAAGCGGGGTCTCGGCTCTATCTTCGTATCAGACAAAGTGACAGAGAACTGATTAGATAAGAGATTGTTGCCTCGCGGCGTAATTTATCTACTCCGTATGTATTGCTTGCAGTAACCGAAGCATTCGCATTGGTTTCGGCTGTGTATGAGCGGGTAATTGTTCCTTACCTATCTTGGCCGCGGAGGTCCGGGCGCTTGTGCTTGTACGGGTTACTCGTCCAATCAGTGCTTTTATAATTTGAAAGTTTTTGATCTTTTTGTGTTGTTTCAACATCCATACCAATCATTTCAGCCTCCATTCCTCATTGACTGCTCTTATTATACAACTTTTGAGGGAAATAGGTTAATTTATGGAGCTGTTAGCTGCCTAAACTTATGTCCCCAGGTTAAATAAGCACTTAGCTGGAATCACTGAATCAAACAATCAAAGTATTGACATTTCATTGTATTCGCGAATACAACACATTTCGTCATTGAGGAGATTTTACGTGTCAACCACCAATCATCGGGCGTCGAGAGGCTCACCGCCTCGACCTCGGCCAGGGATTCTGTTCCACTTCTGCCACTTTTGTTACGTTTTCCTCCGCAAGTCCGGCCAAAAAGTCTCGCCGCGCGTGTGTTGTATACCAGGGCTATCTTCGCCCTGCAACTATTGCTTCACTATTTTCCTTTGTTTTCTTAACCCACAAATGGGTTATTGTCATCTATTCACTCGCGTCCGTATTCTAGATGATATAGACATTTCATCTTCCCCTCTCCTTTTCTCCTCCCTCCTTTCTCTCCTCCCCTTCTTCTCAATTCTTCTCCTGCCACCATTATCTTTCTCTCCCTACCGCTCCCGTACGTCGATCTACAGCATCAAATCAACTATGGCGCAAGTAATTGCACCAATGTCTCCTCTACATCATCTGCCAAGCCCTTCTCAGGGACAGTCCTTGGTTAGACAGACTACAAGCAACTTGCAGCGTAAACAATCCAAGTTTCCCTCCACCAATTCGTCTCCAAAACCAGCGGAATCAAACAACCCAGCTCCAACGGAACAGGATCCAAGAGAAAAGTCCACAGAAGAATCAATATCAGCCGACTCCGATTGCGAGGAATTAGCACCGAGGCGGTCGGCAGCAAAGATTCGAAGTAAAGAAGCAGTAACACAAAGCCTCGAAATTCCGTGTCTCAGTGAGCTAGGACTCTATGCTTTCCCTACAAAGGGTGATGGTAATTTCTCCCTACATTGAGCCCACAGATCTTTCATTTCTTACTTGCGTTCGTTCTGAGTTATGCTGGCATTCTACTATCGTCTTATACTAACAATTTCCGTTCCCAGGCAACTGTCTCTACTACGCCCTGTCCGATCAAATGTACGGGAGCCCGGACCATGCCGACCAGATTCGTCTTCAGCTTGCAGACCATATTGCTGCTCACCGAGATTACTTTATAAACTTCATAGTGGCTTCTGGTGGAGAGCGGAGAGCTCCTAGACGAGCAGCTGCATCCAGATATTCTTCGTCGTCCAGATATTCTTCTTCCTCTTCTTCGTCGGCAAGTCCGGCACCTCCCTCGTCTGAGGACGTCGAACGCAGCTTCGAGTCGAAATTGGAGGGTTGTCGAAAGAATGGCACATGGGGTGGCTCCGAAGACATTCAAGCATTTTGCCAGTCATTCAAAGTCGACGTTCGCGTCTACAGCACAAAAGGCATTCAGACCTTTCGAGATGTTTATGCTCCGGGCAGTGAGGAGAGGGCAATTCTCCATGTCGCTTTTCACGTAAGTCAACTGATTGTATTGGTCGTCGAATGTCGATCTACGTTGTGAATATTCGACTAACCTTCTCGCTGTACAGGACTTCAACCACTACTCTTCAGTGCGGCATGTGGATGGCCCTCATACTGGGCTGCCACGTATCCCGAAAGATTTGAAATCAGATAATCGGACTTCAAACACCTCGCCACCTTCCTACGCTGGCGCGAAGCGCTCCGCTGATGAAAGTGAGGATGAAGACGCTCGCCCGGCTGTTCGCCGCAAGAAAGTCAGAGTTGGGGCACCAGAGAGCAAATTGACCATGAAGTTACGCAGTCGGTCCTCCTCGCGAGCCTTGTCTCCTTCACCTGCTAGCATGAAGCGCTCCGCTGATGGAATTGTGGAGGAGGATCCGCGCCCTACCCTTCGAAGGCGGAGACTTCGCAATCGCATTAGCACCTAAGAAACAAGGCAGCTACAGTCACGAAGTGCCATCAGAGCTGTCTCTTTCCACCAAAATTGAGCAAGTCATCGGTTTGAATAATGTGGACAATCATCTCTCCCGGCTGTTCGACGTGACAGTCTGCAATAAGTGTTGCTTTCCGTGCAGGATATCCCTCATCTATCTACACTGCGCCCCACAAACAAACAGGTGCCATGGCCCCATACCAGGCGGCGCATGGCCTCTACAACGATATGAAATCCGCGATTCTCCAAGATCACGGTTACTGGGAGGGCTCATCGCCCGACACCCACACACGAAGTTACGACATTCCACATTACTGGCTTTCTCTCGCCTTTTACTCATTCGCATTGGGAGCAGGTTGGATCATTTCAGGTTGCTTTGAGCATAAGGTTCACGCTTGCTACTTAGCGCTGGGCGGTTATTCTCGTTATTTGAGTGGCATTTTTCGATGGTCTGGTTATCATCGTTGTCAACTCTGGTGGCTTTCAGTTTCGCTAGAGTTTTACTGCATCAGTACACGATACCCCCACGGCAAGGCGTTTCTCCATTTCTTTTTGCTTTTCTTTGCATTGGGTGTTGACATCTCTGCCATTCAATGTTGACATAATAAACTGGCTTTGCTTGAGCGAATCTTGTCGGCTCATCAACCTATTAGAATCAAGCATTTGAGGGTGCCTGGTGCACTCCTCCTTCAGATGGCTCTAAGTTCTATTTGCTTCTCTTGTAACGAAATTGCCGTTCATTCGGCTTGTATTAAACGGTATATGCTCGACCGGTAATCTGGGCTCAGAATCTGTGCCATACGTAAGGCTGAGAAACTTAAAGCTTCCATGTAGAAATTCGTTCTGTATAACAAGACTGATAACATTCCCTTTTGGCATATCAAAGCTCCACATAAGCGTTAACTATTCTTCTCACATATGAGGATTCGACTTCATTGAGAATGAAACGTAATCCATATTATACATGCCGGCTTGTACCCGTTGCCTTCTAAGGTATCACTATGTACAAACGAAGGAAAAGTGAAGGGCCTCGTCATCAACCATTCTGACGAGATTGCACAAGAGATATCTATCTATCTGCTCATGACTCGATATATTTGTGCATACAAACAGAATGCCTCCCTCACGACTGCTGGGTATACCCTCAGATGTTCGTCATCTGAGCCATGCTCGAGATTCGTGGGTCATGCACTTGTAGTGGACGCGTCCGTACCGAGAAGCGTCAACTATGCGATTTCGCGTTGGGTGAGGGCGTGGCGATGCGCTAGTGATGGCATCGGTGCCCGTTTGCGCGACAGATCAAGGGCAGGATTGTTCTCGACGTGAGTGACGAGCCAGTATGCCTGTGCTCATTCGAAGGACTGAGAGTTCAAAATCGCTTGCGGCTGACTGGATCCTGTATCTCAGCCAACTGTCGAGTGTTGTTGGAATGTATCTGGCCTCAGCCGTATTTTAGGGGAGTAACAAAGATGGTAGAGATCGTCCACATATGTGCCCGAGGCCGAGTCGCCAGCCAATACGGTAGTCTGTGAGGCATGCCGACCCAGTGTGGGATGGGTTGACAATTCTGCGAGTTTCGCGATGTCCACTTTCACTTCCTTGCGGACAGTGATTTCTCCAAACGGCGAATGCTCCGCAAGGGTCTCCTGGGACGTTGCGCTCATTTTATCGCTGGGCTGTTTGCGGGACGGCCAGAAGCGACGAAAAGCACGAACAGAGGATGCGATTTCGGAGTCAGTGGTTGAACTGGAGCGGGCGTTGGAATAATAGAGCTCTTGACTCAGCTCTTTTGCGAATCCATCGCCTCCTGTGAAACCATCGTTCACTTGCTGCTGCACCCTGAAGAGACGCAGAGGCGTGAAGGTAAAGTCAGGGTTGGAGATTTGGGTGTCCAGCGTGCCGACAACGCAGAATGGAAGAATGATACAATTGTTTCCGTCCGAATGCCTTGAAGGGCGACACGGGGCAATAAGAGGGCGTGCCGAGAATCTAGATACTGAATTGATATCAGGTGGCATGACGGACGAAAGGTTCCCCATCGCTTGGATCAGCTGCTGGCGAAATGCGTCAGCGTCTCTGTATGCGCGCGCTGTCTCCGACTTCAGCCAGTTCAGGCACGTTGACACGGTCCACCCTTCCATGTGTGACAACAATTCCAGATGGGCAATCTGGAGACGTTTCATTGGCAGTGATGAGGACGGTAACGGGTTTCTGACGCCTTTGGCAGTGAGTACTTCGAAGTTGTCATGAACGGTGGGGCGCATGACAAAAGAAACCAAATGAACTCCTGGTTCAAAGTTCCGACCGGAGGTGGCATAGTCTCGCATATCCCTGAGATGAGCGGCCAAAGTCATGGACGGTATATGGACACGGCGAGATAGCACGGGGATAACGTTCTCAATTGCTGTAAATCGAAGCCCTGATGCTGCTAGGCGGGCAGCTTCGTGCTTACTCAATTGCCGGACAGTGAACATCATCTGACCCTTATTGGCACTGAGCCGAGAGTATCCCATTGCTCGAGAAAAGCGCGAGACTGGTGTCGTAGTGGTCAGGATGTCATCATACAGCACGCCCATGTCCTGAAGAGGCTGTCGCAGTTCCTCGGCCAGGTCCTGAGCGGTTACACAGAAGTGCTGTTTGAAGAACCCGTCAAAATCGCCTTGCATCTCCGTGTCCTCGTCGGTCGCTCCACCTTGCGGGGTGAACTGTTGTTCCCCAGCTTTTTCGGACTCGATTCGACTTCTCATAAAAGGAACGACATCCGTCACGAGTTTCCAGTTTCGACTTGCACGGAATGCCCAGAGGAAGGCCGAATGCGTTCTTGTAAGATCGTCGTCGTTAAAAGTCTACCAAGTAGCAAGGAGATTAGCATGGTCTGACGGTTCAGTAGAATAAAGTGTTTGGGGTCCTAATCCGCTGACAACGTACCTTTCCGCGATAACGATCCACGATTTTCCTACTCGGAAGACCTGCATGCGGAGTCACCATGACTCTACCGGCTGGGTCGAAGAAGGCACAACTCAAGACCACTTGGCGCGCCTTTGTTCTCGATCGTCTGCGGTCTCCGCCGGCCGCGATGGCACATGCTGATAGAACTGAGCAGGAAACACATGCCTTATCGCATTACCTCGTTAGTTTGCTTGTCGCCGATGATGAATGGAGACAACGCACCAGGACCGCACATATAATGACAGTTTGGCTTCGTGAAAGTTGGCCGCCTTGCTTGACGGATTGATCATGTTCTTTGTAAGATGTACCAACTGCAGCAGTCCAGTGCATACCAGAGACAGCGATGGCAAGTAGACAGCCACAGATTCCCCGTCTCCACCAACTGTTCGTCCATGTAGCCCTCCACCGAAAGAAGATTCCCAGGGCAACAGTACTGGCAAAGACGGCAATGATTGCGGCTCCGACTATATGTGCGACCTTGTAGCTGCATCGGTAATTGGCGATGCCGAGCTGACCGATGTAGTGCATTCCGCACACGGAGCTGCCCGTTAGGACACCTCCCATAATGATACGAAGATAGCCAGCCTTTTCACTGGTTCCTATCGCGTAGAAAGCTGCAAGTAGGACGACCACGGGAAGGATGAATGAAACTCCTGTGAAAGTCACGCTATACACAATCTGGATTTGGGCTGCTCCATCACCGAGGACGATTGCTCTATTGCCAATGAAATGCATGCACCAGATGCCGATGCCGCCCATGGTCACTGAGGATGTGAACAGAAGGTACCTGCAATGTTAGACAATTAGATGAAACTGTACTTCGAACAGTAGTCATACCAGTTATATAAGCCGGACTTCGACGTTCGTCGGTGAAGAAGTTCGAGGGTAGTCGCACACCCCATCGTGCTGACAACGTAGGAGAGAAAGATGTAGCCTGCCAGATAAGATACGGCAACGGGCAATCCATCAGGGTGATCATCTGAAGCCGACATTGTCAAGGTCGAGCAAGATTAAAGACTGACTTAGCACGACGGCGACCTCATGAACTGATGTGGGAGTTCTCAGCGCATCTCAGTCCGTAAAGATGCTCAAGGAACGGCTAGAAGGAAGAACAAGGAACGACTGAGGGAGTGGGCAAAGAATGAACCAAGGTGACAGTGACGGTCAGGGTCGACTATAGGACATGTGAGACCACCATGCTTCAAATGTGCCGGTTCCAAACAGCGAGTGCTGCAGCTTGAGAAAACTTGGAAGGAGGACCGAGTATCTATATGGGGTTTCTCATGATAAAGGGCGTTCTTATGAAAAAAGACGAAGCCCAATCCATTTGCTACAAGTTCATTGGAAGTTGGCAACCTCCAAGACAGCCCCCGGTCCATACGGCTGGATCAGTAGCACGAGGGGGCCAATCGGACTACTCATTGTTAGGTACTCCGTAGATGTCGATAGCGGATCGAAGTAAATTGTAGCTCGTCAGCTGGTGATTATCGAGGACCAGGAAAGTTCCGAAAACTGGATCAACAGATCGGATCGTAGTTGGCTAACGAGGGAACGATAGGGAACAGACTTCGGTACTTAGTGAGTTAGTGCTGACTCCAGGCCGGGCCAACGACCAGACAGGTACCTGGGTTCGTCTTATTGGCCAGGTCCATATTAAACAATCAATTGTTGCCAGCAGAAGGCTAGGGCCTGGAAGAGCAAGGTCTCAGGACTGCCTCGGGTCGGAGCTTTTGGCCAAAAGATCAGACTTCGAGACTCCCTTGGGGACCCGCTACAATCAAATTTCAGCTGCGCCATGACTAGGTTTCAGGCCCTTGAATCATTGTTATGAATTTTTCACTGTGTGTGCACAGAGGAGCTCTGTGTGTAGTTTGAGATCTTTGTTCGAAATGAAGTATGCCTGGCTGGATACCACTTTTGTTTGTGGACTTCATTTGAGACTTATCACGAGCCAGATCGGTTGATGCTCTTGCGTTCCACCCATGGAAAACTTCTATCCCAGGGTCCCATGGCTCAAGGACGCCATGGGACCTTCCGAGGAACCTG